GTGAAATAATTCAAAAACATGACAGCCCCCCCCCCCCCCCTTCCTCCTGCAGAGAATAGTGTTCCTTCCCTAAAGTAGCCATTTTGAGTTTGTCAAGGCGATTCTGTCAAGCCTTATTGGGTCTGAACGCTTTCATGCTTGCCACGACAGTCCATTTCTCTCCTTTTCACTTTGTTTGAGGTAAATGCAACAAGGCAGGAAAACAATGAAACTGATAGAGCATTTCACCACAAACACAGGCTGTGGGGACATTTTCTTCACAGAGTAGAAACAATCTCAAAGTAATAGGAACTACTGGTTTTGGGGCATATGTATTGAATCTGTGTCTGTCTGATTCCGTCTGAATCTTAGCTAGGAACTAGCACAAAATGTTGCAAGGATAATGATGAAATGTGTATCTTCCATTCACCATGAGTGGAATCAAATATTCATTTAAAACTGGGATTGGATTTGAAAGCACCATGTCAACTGTGTTGTTGTTGTGAAATGGTCAAAAAAGAATTTATTCTTTTGCACAATGACATGTGCTTTGATCTACTAAAGAAATGAACTGAAATGTTTATCGCCATAGTGCCTACTGAATCCTCAAGCATCAGCACTGGCAATAGAATCAGTGGAATATTGCCATCAGAGAACTATGTTAGACTTTCTTTCAACTCCTTAACCGTGACATTTATTGGCTGCGGCTTTAATCACGGCGGCGCGATCCCTTTCCTTTCGCAACCCACTGACGCATTGAGAGCATCCTTGAGGCTCTGACACCATGTCATATTTAATAGATGAACCGTCCAAACACAGGATGTAGTGTTACCTGGACAAGACATATGCCATGACAAGCGCAAGCTGGACATGCTGTCTTTTCTCCCCAATGGGATTTTCTTCTTCAGCCTCCAGTCGAAAAAAAAAAAAAACAGCATGGAAATGAAGCTGTTAACGCTGCAGGGCTGGAGATTACCTTCCCTTACCCTTACACAGACCGGTGACACACCTGCATAGACACACATGTATTGCTCTGCTTTGCACAAAGAATTACATTCATGCTGGAAATTGTGTGGAAATTAAGTGTGCTTGTTCAATTCTGTTAACAAAAGCAAACACCTTTGCATGCACTTAAGGACCATGTTTTTAAACTGCTATTAAGTGTCTGTAACGGTGCAAGATTTTATAGCACAAAACCAGAAATTGATTTTCATTGCGTAGGGTTTTAGGTTAAGTTATCGGATGGCATTGTGCCTACCTCAGAGCAAAGTGGCTTGAACTCTCTTAATAGGCTATACCTACATAAAAATATATAGTGTTGTACTGAGGACCTTTCTAAATGTGTCACAGCTTCCATAATATAAAGAAAATTATACTTAAAGTCCCTGTCTCAATGCTGGAGACCTTCTTTAAACTGTATTCGTGTAAGGGACAATCAGCACATAGGGAATCAATGTAGTCCAATACATTTTTATCCCGATGGAAAATTCCTGATCTTTATTGGTTCATTGGAATTGTTAAAAATGAAGGAGACTTCGAAGCTAGGCCTTTAAATAATCCCTGAGGAACAGTGCTGGTGGACACATTTACAGGCCATGAAACCCTGGGACCTGAAAAAATAGTTGGCAGTGAGCATTTATAACCAAAGAAATGGCTGTAAAACTAAAATGAACATTTTCTGTGAATTACATACATTTTAACTCGAACCATTAGGTCTGACGTTCACTGACCATTTCATTAAGTACAACTAGTGAAAACTAATGTACATGGAATAGCCACCATTATTTTTGTGTTATTAATCTGTGTGAGCAATTTGCCAGGTGGCAGCCAGAGTAGCCCACTCATGCTAATGTGGTACAGTCATGCACAGGACGGCTTTCATTTGAATGAATCAACCACCATAATAATAATCTTTGTTTCTATCTTTCTTCTCACCAAGTGTGGACATCTCATTCATTGTTTAATTCATCAAAGAGGCAAACAGGAAATGGGCATGACTCAGTGAGATTTTAAGCATTTATGCTAGCTGCTGCTAGCTTGTTCCGTCAACCGTAGAGACTGTGCTACCTAATTGCGAGCGGCAAGTTTGCTATGTTCCAAAAAATAAACCAAATAACATCGCAAAAGGTCAAGAAAGGAAATATTCTTACACCCGTTTTCCTTATTTAACACAAAAATATAACTGTTCACCATCTGAATTCAAGTTTCTTACTTTTACCAAACTAAGACTAGCTTATTGGTTGTTAACTAATCGTTAAAATACACTTTTACAACAAACTCGACACATACAAAAAGACTGTTGAATTAGAAACATAAAACAACAAAACTTGACTTGAATACTTGGATGTATTCATCCAGTCAGCCATTCCTACTAGGTACACTAATATGTAAATGGATGACTGTGTGTAAATGCTTGTCTGTGTTCGTTTTAGTGCCAAACCATGCAGTAGCAGGACACAGTTGTGGAAAAAGCTTAACATTGGCTTCCTGAAGATTACGTTTTATCACAATTGTTTTTGTAAAATAATGTCTATTTGTCTCCAGGACATGTCCACAGGATTCTCGCTGTTTTTATTATTGTTTCTGGTCTCCCAGAGATCACCTGCCAATCAAACTGAGCCAGGGCCAGCACTGTTCAAGTTTATTGTTTACAATGTTTTTTTTCGAGTGATGTACTTTTGTTTTCAGCCATGGTAGATAACGCCGTTCATATTAACTACCAAGGTTTTCTTTCTGTTCTTAAGAGACTGGAAGTGTCACATTTAACTTTGCTTAAGTACCAGGAGGATTTCTCGCAGGAAAAAACTCCCAGTACATAAGTATGCAGTTTGTACACTCGGTCCAGAGCTAGCACTTACTTACCTTCACTTTGACAGAACCCTCAGCTCTGGTGTCAGTCTTTTGTCACTCAGCTATGCTCGAGGCTAGACTGAGATTTTCTTATAGGAAAACATCTCAGAAGAGATCTGGTTACAAGCCACTGCTGGCATTCATGTTTTTTACTCTCTTTAGGTGGTGTGTTCACTGTCAGTGTTTACAATCTGTATTTTTTGTGAGTTATTTGAATGACAATATTAATAGTATTTGTTTTATGATTTCACTAGAATATACTGGTGTTACAAATAGTGTTAAGAAACACAGCAGAAACATTTAAAACTGTGAAATCATTCTTAGGTCACCTGCAACCTCAGTGTCTTGTGTTTTATTTTACCCTGTCATACGATCAGACACCCTCCCTCTCTCTTGTACACATCTGACACATTTCGATTGAATTTCACCTCTTGTCACTCTGCTTGCATGGCTTCGCTTCCGAGCCACCCACTAACACTCACATGCACAAACACACACACACACACACACACACAACACACACACACACACACACACCACAACACACACTCAGACAGCATTAGGTGAAGCGTGATTGCAGAGCAGTGGCGCCAGTCATGACAAGCTTCATGGTAGCACCTGGGCTGTGTCTGGTATGTGTGTGTGCACGTGTGTGTCTGTGTGTGTGAGACACCTAATGCCTACACCTCTCAGACACACACACATACTCTGTCAGAAATACAGATGCATTCATGGATAGCTTCGCACACACATGCTTCTTTTTCCCCTGGTACAAAAGAGAGTGAGCTCAGGTAGCTGTCAGGCGCTCTCCCACAGGGAACAGTGGGCAAGTCAAAAACAGCCTCCTCGCCTGTCACTCCACACACACACACACGCATACACACACACAAACACACATTCACGCACTGTGCTTCGGTATGAGGAGAGAGACTGAATGAGATGCCTTGGGCAGATGCTGGACCAGTTGTCTATGCTGCACACAAAGAGTTTGTGTATATGTGTGTGTATGTCTATCACAGTACCGCAAAAGCCATCTGCCAGCAAGTCCAAGTGGACATGCTGCTTTGCGTTCAGTCCTGGCCTGAGAGCCAGCGATAAGAAATAGCTGTGTGTGTGCACGTGTGTGTGAGTGTGTGACATGTATATCCTCAGCAGTGACACTGGTGGTTCGCCCCTCCAACCAAGAATTGTTTTTTTGAGTGGATTTTTATGCGCTTTAGTCCACTGACTTACGATCAGGTTGGCTACCTGTGAGAGCTTGGCATCTTTTTTAACGCCCCCCAGTGCTGAGGCAAGGACGTCATGCCAGCTGGCTGCCAAACAGCCCTCAAAGTGGGCGCAGAGCCACAGCAGCTGTAGCTGCCACAACACGGGTCAATTACTCTCTAAGTTGATGTTATGTACACACCACTCGAGCACATACGCACACAGGTACTCCCTGTTTGTTTGTGCATTCAGCAGCCGCTGACAAAGTTTATGGTTTGCTGTTTCACACTTGATCAAAGCCAATGAATCAGTGGGAAGTTTAGGATCAAAGTCTTATGAGTTGTTGTAGCCTGACTTGTGCAGCCTTGAAGTGTTGGCTAACCTTGGTTTTTCTTCATGTTGCTGTCCCTCCATGTTTTGCTGAACGGTGGATCATTGATGTTTCAAAGAATGCAGCCTCCTCAGAGGTTGAAAACAAACTGTCCAAGACTGTGTATCAGCCTGCGGCCTGTAGATTGATTTTAATGTTGTTGCTGACTTATTAAAATTTCGAACACTGAAGCTTTTCCAAATTCTGCAATGGGCTCAGCACTCCCAACAACACACTGTGCTTGCTCTGCATGGGTGGACAGATTTTCCCTGAATGAATTGAGAGCATCTGTTTGCTTTACGCCAGGATCACATTTAATCCCTGATGCATTTGTGTTGCTGAACTGTGTAGAGTTCTGCACAAAGACCCCAATGGCTGACGCATATTGAGATGAGTCTGTTCAGACACGCCTGTCTGGTGTTACAATATAAACTTTCTTTGCATTCACTCATGAAAACTTGAGGGAAACACGTTGAATAGATTTGTGCATATGAAATCAGTTCATGCTTTCAGCCTTGATCTGCTGTGACTGACCTTGAATTTGTGTTTTATATCAATCTTAACACCTCTTCCTTTGTTTCTTCTTGTCCGGCAGGCTGCAGAGGCATGCTGTGTGGCTTTGGCGCTGTATGTGAGCGTGACCAGACTGATCCATCCAAGGCAGAGTGTATCTGCAAGAGAATGGAATGTCCATCCTTGGTGGCGCCTGTTTGCGGCTCGGATGCGTCCACCTACAGCAACGAGTGCGAGCTGGAGAAATCTCAGTGCACCTCACAGCGACGCATCAAGGTGCTGCGCAAGGGACCCTGCTGTAAGTACCATTATCTACCAACCAGCCAACCACTCATAGAGATAGTCATGTCAATTTAACGTTTAACATTTAAACACTTTGTGTGCTCATAGTTAAAAAGAACACAAGTTGTACATTTGAAGAAAAGTTTGAGTCGACCGTTCATCTGCTCTGTTGTATTTATTTATGAACACCACACTCTAAACATATTGATATTATTCTTCAAAAACTTCTAGCATTAGCAGCATTTTTTTTTATGTCAGAACATGCTTTTGAAGTGTTAACATTAGTATATAGAGTGTCTGAACATTTTTAGAGATCAAATTGGTGCCTTTGATGCAGAAAAGATCAATCCCAGAAGTCCACTTAATCTACAATATTTCAGAAAACAATCTGAGACTGACCACATTAAACCTCTGTGAGAGTTTGAATTTAAAAGCCATGAAGTATAGGTTTGCTGCTTTGTAACATTTAGGTTATCATTACTGTATTATCACCTAAAAAAAGAAGAATCATTTATCTATAGAGGAAGGGGCCGCCATGTTTCTACAGTAGCCCAGAATGGACAAACCAAATACAAGCTCTAAATGGGGCCTTTTGGATTTTTTGCGGGCACAGTTTCTTGACAGCACAGTTTTTTGAGAGCAGTATTCAGTTGGTTTGCAAATTCACCACTAGATGCCACTAAATCCTACACACTGGTCCTTCAAAGCATGGCGAATGTGGAGGTTTAGATGAAATAATAGACATTTTGATCTGGTTTTTGTTTTGATTTGGGACTGAATCAGCCTAACACAAATCTGTAAGTCTCTGAGTGACGCTAAATTGCTTGTTATTGTCAAGTAAATGGATTTCTATTACACCCTATCCTAATACAACAGGCTTTCCCTTCCTATCTTTATCCCCCAATACTGAAACACGTTCCCATTATGTCCAATCTATTGTCTTTCCAATATGGCTACGCTCCCAGCGCTTAAGCGCCACCTGCACCCTCACAAACAGAGTGTGTGCCACTCACTGCTCCCATTGGTAGCCATCCAGAGTGTATTTTATCCCTTAGCCCCTGGTGGGTGCCTGCACTCCTGCTGTACCTCTCATTGCTTCTCTTTAGCAAAGCCCATCAAGATCCAGGGCTCTGAGGGGAGCGGCGGATTCCTGCCAAAGCTGCAACATTGCAGCAGCCTCAATAATAACTATAGTGTTTTGTCAGCGTCGTGCCCGCCTGCCAGTGTGGGCCCACTGCTAATTCCAGGGGTCTGATTACAGTGCTGGCTTGGACCTGGCACTAATAACAAGCTTGGTGACCGCTCACCACTGGCAGAGAGGAAATAAAGAGATATAAAAGACAGAGAGAGAGAGACAGGAGGAACAGAGAGTACAGTGGAGAGGCATCTGGAGAGCGAGGGAGGGAACAATGTCGAAAGAGGAATGAGCCATGAAACATTTAGAGAACGAGGGGGATGCAAGAGCAAGTGAGTGAGTGATTGAGTGAGTGAATGGATGAACAGAATACAGGATTAAATCCAGGGAGAGAAAGTAGTGTGAGTGCTGTAATGACGGTTTATGGAGGGTTAAGGCCAACAGAGGCACCATAATTACCCCTGGCAACAACAGCAGGCAGTCACTTGCAAAAAAAGATTAAAGTAAAAAATAATAATAATGATGATACTAATGATAGTATTGCTGATAATAACTGCATGCTCAGTACCAGAACAGAGACTTTTGCTGTTATCACGTCACATCTGCAACAAGGAGTCAAAAGCTGTTTTTTTTCATTCTTCCGTTGCCTGCATTTTAAATAGGCCTGTATAATTGATGCTAATGGTAAGGCAATTTTTATGTCAGCTTTTCCATGTAACCAGTGAATCTGGCTCCTTTGAAAAGAACACAGAGCTCTTGCGAGTGTGAAATGGAGACAAGTGTGCTCTGGATGTTTTATTGTCTTTAGTCTATTTAAAAGGTTAAATCTGCAATCAGTGCATGGTGTCCATCACAGTAGACTTACCGCCTTATGTACTTGAACTGTAAGAAGGTAAACAGTGAAGAAGTGTGTTTTCCTATCTTTACTTTATCTACTTTTGAGTGAAAATGGTAACTGTTGTGAGAAAGGTGGAGAGTGTAAGTCACTCTTTACTTTGCCAAAGCGCACATGGCTAGTTTTAGAACTGTATCTGCAAAGGTTACATTCTTTTGACTGGTGGATCTGCCCAGAGCTTGCAGACTCCGTATGCTGAATAAGCCACCAGGTACTGATGCAGGTGACCTTAAAGTCTAATCTGTAAGTCACCAGTTCATGTATTAAATGGAAATCTAGATATTATGTTTTGAAGTGACAAATTAACATTAACATTTTGCAGGCCACACTGCATCTATAAATTCTGCAATCCTTTTTCACCAGTGCTGTTTATTTCTTGTTGCATTGTGTGTGCCAGTGAACTCAATACAAGCAGACATAGTCAAGTAGGTGCCAACCGCTTAGCTAGCTGTGATCTGTAGGTTTGTTTACCTTTTATTGAAGCAGCCTTGTTAAAGCTCCCACACATAGCAAATGGACTTTTGTCAATAGACAGTATTCAGAAGGGCAGCCGACCAAAGATTCAAAGGAAGGTTCAGCCAAGTTGTAAGCTGAGGTTTAATATTAATCAAGACACGTTTATACCTTTTATTTATATTTGAACTGAAGAATATTTGCATTTGTACTTTATATGTTTATACAGGTACTGTAGGTAGAACTATAGGTGCCAGAGTGCAGTATGGTATACATGCATGTCTGCCAGGATGTATGTGTGTGTGTGTCTGAGAAAGAGAGAGACGGGGTGTTAGGAGGTCAGGGGAAGCCGAGTGACAGGTTCTCATTCTCTTTCTGCCTCCAATAAATTCAACCAGTACAGAGGGTCTGGACAGGTCACTCTGGCTTGGAGTTGTCAGAGCTGATGGAGGCAGAGAGAGGCAAAGATGGGAAGAAGGAAGAGCGGGTGATGGTGCGAGAGGAGAGAGAGCTAAGCGAATGGGAGAGCTTTTAACTTTAAGAATAGTGTGGGCGGTTGGATTGGTGCTTTTGTGCAAAGCCTCGTTTGACTCATTCGATTTGAATGGCGGTTTTTCATTGGGGTAAGTGAATTGGCTACCGTTCTGAGAAGCCGTCATGTCCAATTCAAATCAACTCGGGAGTCTTATCTGGCACTCAGGAGTGCAGCCACAAAAGAAGTTTTTTTTCTCACAGATTATCCCCCTTTTAAAGGGACTGGAGTTATATGGAGCATGTTGTTAGCACTAAATACAAGTCTAAGACTTGGGGTATGTTTTTGCAAAGAGGAGGAGTATCAACCCTGACATCTGCAGCTTGTTGACACCTCTACATTTTACAATGTGAGCATTTTGGTACTTACTTAAAGCGAGACTGTGTAACTTTTAAGAGAAGAAATAACACAATCTTCCTCTTATTCTTAAGCCCAATTCAGACTCAGAAGATGAAAATGTGAAAGTCTTGCAGGGAAATCGGCCTATGTTAATGGAAAATTCCATAAGCAATATTCATCTGTACTCACTCAAGTAAATTGTTGAGATTTTGGATAGGAAACTAACTAAACTAAACTAAAACACAGTCGAATGAGGCAGGACGTATGAGCAGTCACATGATCAGGTTAGCCTAATTCATTTTGAGGAGAAAAGGAAGGTAAACTGTAAATTGTCCCACTGCACTTTTTCCTGTGCAATGAGGGTTTTTTTTACCAACATATTGGGTGTGCTCACTTGATGTTGTTACTCCAAATAAGTGGCTTGTTTGTTCCCAGTCCTCCCCTATTGACAGATGCCCATATATTCCCACTCCTCCGACTGCACGGTTCAGCTTAGCTCAGTTTGGCATAGCAGTGGAAAAATCCCATTCAACCACGTTCATTTAGCACCTCGCTCTAAAACACTGAACTGACTATTACAACAGTTAAGTGCCAAGGTAACTCCCCCCCCCCTGAGGGCAGGAGAAAATCACCTACACAACGTTGAGGCGTGGGCACTTAGTTGCCCCCAGTGCTCCGCTCTAATATTCACATAACCTAGACCTTAATGGTTCAGACCAGCTCTGCGCCAGCTTCTTCATTATCTTCCTTTTGTTCTAGATGGATGATTTGGGATGGGCGGGGTTGCATTTGTGGCGGTCAAGCAGGCAGGCGGTGAGCAGATAATGGCCTCTGATATTATCGAAATTAAAAGGAGAAGCCGCGTTTAAATTGGCCCAGCAGGAGTGTCTGATAACAACACAAGGCGAGAAGGAAAAGGCGGTCAGTTATGAAAAGAAAGAACTCGGAGGCCGAAATAGAAAGAGAGACAGAGAGAGAGAGAGACAGCCAGCAGAAGCACTTTCTGGTTTAGAGAGACAAGAGACATTTGGGCAACTGTGTGTGTATGTGTGTGTCCATATTAGTGTGTGTGTATGGGCATGCACACGCTACAATCAGCTGGGGAACGTGCACCATGTTGGCTCTCCTAATATTGAACTTGGAGCAGAGTGGTAAATACACTCCCTTTCCCAGAGAGAGCCACAGAAGTGCTGCAGAACTCATCTTGTGTGGCCACTCTAGTGGAACATGGAGTTTTCATTCTTTCTTTCTTTTTTTCTTTTTTACTTTTTTTTTCTTGAAGGACTGCAACAAGTAATGCAAAAAAAGTGGAGTGTGTGTGTTTGTGTGTGTGTGAGTGAGGTGACTGGGGTTCGAGAGAGTGATCAATGGAGATTGATTTTGTGTGAGTGTGTTCTAGAGAGTTGGCCATGAGCACGGCCCGCTTCCTCCCCTACTCTATCAGTGTCTCTCTCTCTCTCTC